ACTTATTTCTTTCATGAGAGAGAAAGACAAGATCTCATCCTGCCATACCCCTTCCCTAGGACTTCCATACCGCCAGGATCATTGGCATACCCAACGTGTTCAGGTTGATCTGGGATCTGAACCTGGGGCCTTCCCATGTGGCTCCAGTTTCACACAGTGCTGCCTGCACTGCTGCAGCTGTGTCTGCCAATTTTAAGGCTAGATACTGAGGTGAATTGGTATAAGCCAGAGGGATATACAGTAACAGGCATATTCCAATAGAAAAAAAAATGTTTAAAGTGCTGCTTCTGTTCTTTACAACTTTCCCTTGCCCTGTGGTACATAGGTGAACAGAGAGAATTGTCAACCAAAAATCTATAAATTTGGGTCTAAAAATCTGTAAATTTTACTTGCCATTCTAACTCTCCATGCCAGCTCAGTTCAAGTTTTTGCTTGACAGAGAAAGAGAAAATTGAGAAAATGAGTGTACCAATATGGAGGGAGGTAGGCGGGCTGTAGAAAGAGGAAGCGTATGTCATGTGCGAGTGTGTGCATGTGTGTGTGTATGCGTCATTGGCAGGGAAGAGGAGGCTGCCACCTGGGCGAGGGAATTACCAAGAAGGTTACTATTTTGTCCCACATTCCGAGTGAAGGAAAAAGGATGGTAATAATCAGGATAGCTTTAAGGTCATTTCCTGTCCCTCTCAGTCACCTACCATGGATAGAACAAGAGGTGGAAACTCTGAGTGTGTGTGTGTGTCACACGTTTGGAAATCTGTCAATAGCATACATTGACCTACGAAGCTCTTTCCCAGGTTCTTTTGCTCCTGAGTTGGGTCCCTAACTTGAGAATGAATGGTGAGAGCAACAGAAATACCAGCACTTGGCATAATGCTTACACATTGCACATACCAAGTAGATATTTGTTTAAGAAACATGGCATTGACTGATGACAGGCAGATAGTTTTCCATTCTGTTTCAGGGACTGATGACAGTGTAGTTCTCTAGACATGCATACACATAACTAGACATGTATACTTAAATATGCGGTTAGATTCGATTAGCTGTTGTTTTATTTAATACTTTTAATCGGTACTTAAAAGCAAAGGAAGTATTGTTTCCTATACTTTTTTGAATTTGATTTTTTTTATTGCCAGAGGGTATACATGCTTGCTAGAGAGAGAAAGCACCCTTCAGTGGGAGGTGGTCATGCTGTAATCCTTTTTTCTCCATTTCTATATCCTATCAATAAATGGAGGGTGCATACACCACTCCAGTATGCTTTCCAAGCTGCAAGGGCCAGGATTCAAAACAAAGTTGGCCGTTGGGATCTGGCTCCCAGTGCACAGTGCTTAACCCTGCGCAATGCATTGTTTCTACTTAGTTTCCAGGGAGTGGTTTGATTTTCTGTTTGTGTGTATAGGCAGGGTCTCACCACGTTACTGTCCTCCCATCTCAGCCTCCCATCTGAAACACCCCTGGCCGGCTCTTTTTTCAGACAGGGTCTCTCTATGCTGCCTACACTGACCTTGAGCTCATGAATCTCCTGCTTCAGCCTCTTGAGTTGCCAGGATTACGGACGTGTGCCATTGTGTCCAGCCTTTAGATTGGACCAGGACTCACACCTGGACCTCCCATGTAGTCCCAGCCTGCAGAGCACAGCATCTTAGCAGCACACAACCTGTGCCTGGGCCTATTTTACTGGTTTTTAAATGGCAATGGCACTAGCCTCACAAAATGAATTTGGCAGCTTTTGTTCTTTTGGTACTTTCAGCACTGAGTAATGTAGATAGGATCGTTCACTGGAAGCCTTTAAAAACTTACCTAGAAAGCCTTCTAGGTCTGGGCTTTGGGATGGGAGACAGGGCAGGGAGCAGCAGAGCACGGAAGCTGCAAGTTCACCTGTAGCCGATGCTGTCTGCTCCTCATCCCACACAGGCTCCGCCAATACCCCGAAACTGCCCCACCTGGCCTTAGACTTTTGGACTCATATGAAGGTTTCTCAGACTAGAAACAATAGTGATAATAACTTGAATGTGATCATTTTACCAGCTTAGAACAGAGGAGAATTTAGCTCAGCAGTTCGCTCCTGACTTAACTGCTGGCAGTGACACCTTTGCTCAAACTGCCGTTTTCTTCCTCTGCTAAGCCATCACTACCTTCCACCTCTCCAAGGGCTTAGAAGGGCATTTAGATGAGCTTTGCAATTCTGTTCTCACAAATCCAGCTTGGATTTGGAGAGAAACCCAATGATCATGCTCGTTTACTATCTTGGGCTACAGCAACTTATTTTACATGAATACTATGTATGTTCATTGACTTCTTACTTTGCACCAGGCACCTTATACTCCCTTATGCAACCCTCACAATTATACTATGAAACCAGCACTAGCGTTATCCCTTTTTCTTTTTAAGAGCTATTTTTTGCTATAGGCCACATGCACTTGCCTGACAGGGAGCGACAGAGAGACAGAAAGTGAGAAATCACTCCCCCCAGGGGAGATGGCCACGTCTCAATCTCTTTTCCTCCATTCTCCTCTTGGGATCTTGGGCATGTACACACATATGCTCGGCATGAGTTTTAAGCCACCAGGTCCCAGGCTTAAACCACGGTCGACCACATGGGAGTCCAGCAATGAAACAAAGAAATGAGACTTTTTCATCTATTTTATTTTAAGATAAGGGAATGACTTTTAAGTAACTTTCCTAGGTAACGCAGATAATAAATATCAGAGCTGAGACAAGACCAGATCTCTCTCAAGTCCAGAAACTTCTAGCATAACCAGGCACAGGTACAGACATAAGATGTAATTGTAATCATAGACATAAGATGGAAATGTAATGCACTTGTATCAGGTAGACTCCAATCCTAATAAAATTGCTCTTCAAACATTACAAAGTGAGCAGTCACCTCTAGCAGCAACGTGGGAGGACAGGTTCCGACATTTTCTCCTTAGAAGCTTAGGAAGTCTGACTCTCAAAGATCATCTGAGGAGATTTTTTTTTTCAAACCCATAACCAAGTCCCTCAGCTAAATACCTGGGATGTTTACCTAAGATTTAGCTACTTGTTGTCACTTAAATACTGACTCCTAAGAGTTGCCAAAGTGTAGGGCAATAGGCACCTTCTACCAAAGACCACCTAGGTGCTGCCAACACCTCACACGTCGTCGTTGTAGGCTTTCTCCTCTTCCTTCTCTGACCAGGAAACAGAGATTCCACTCATATTTCCCTAGCCATTCTTCCTGTTCTCTCCTATTTCTCTCTCCTTCTCATCTGTTGAGTATTTGCAGAAATGTACTGTGTTATATAGGCGAAGGAAGTGAATGGTACCATGGTGGTTAATCAAAATTACACACCCAGTTGTCTGAAGTGGAAAAGGGTGAAATGTGCAAAGTTGGTGCATTTGAGTAAAGCATATCAGTCAATGAAGTGTGATGGAGGGGCAGGTGAACAGGAAAAATCTTGGAAGAATTTCATCAGAAAAAGAAGGCAAGTCTAGAGCCCACTGGGCATTGGATTATGGTTCAAAATAAGCTGGATTGTACATACAGACTAGAGCCCCCTTCACATGATAAAGACATTCTCAATAGTGAATTGGGTTGTTCCATTGGGTTGTTCAACTTCCTATGTTATTGTATATAGAGGTTTTTATTTTTCTTTTCAAGCATTTTCTAGAACTATATTCCCAAATTAGAATTTCTAGATCAGAGAACATAATTGAATTTGGCTTTGTGATTTAATCTACATATAAAAGATTTATTATTCATTTTTATCACAGTTTGGAAATTGATACAGAAGAGTTGTACTATGTTCTATTCATAAATTGTTTGTTTGACTCATATCAAAGATGAAATATTTGGTAGTATAGGCCATTTTATGTGATCTATTAGGTTGTCAGAAAAGTCATAATGTGTTTTTCTGTATAAAAATATGTCATGACTTTTCCAGCAACTCAATAGTTGAAAAAAGTCATGACTATTTCTTGTATTCTAGACCTCTGCGTACACTTTTTTTTTTTTTTTTTGTAGAGATTTTTGCTATAGGGCACGTGTGCTCACCAGAAAGACAGAGACAGAGAGACAGAAAGCAGGAAATCACCCCCCAGGGGATATGGCCACGCCGCAATCCCTTCTCCATTCTCCTCTGGGATCTTGGGCACACATGCACACACACCCAGCGTGAGTTTAAGCCACCAGGTCCGGGACTCGAACCACGGTCGACTATATAGGAGTCCAGCGACACAGCCATTACACCATCTGCTGGTCCCCCTCTGCATAGACTTTTACAGGAAAATAAATACAAACGTAAACACTATGATGGTTTCACATAATGCATAGACTTTTACAGGAAAATAAATACAAATGTAAACACTATAATAGTTTCACATAGTGAGTTTCCTATTTATGTAGGTTTCTGATAGATTTTCGACACAGATTTTTCCATTTGGGGCATCTGCATGCATAATTAATGCTATGAATGTTGTTTTTTCTTGTTATTGTACATAGTATGAAGTTATGGAAAAGTAACCAAAGAGAATTTGTCCTAAAAAGTTCGCTGATTTAAACTGGGGTATTGAAATGATGGGACTAAACTGTTCATCCAGTAGATGGCACTCTTAATCCTCGGACCCCAAAGTTCTCAAAGTGATGACTGCTTTGCATTGGTTACAGATCACAACAAAATCCATGCCACGGATGTCTTACATGCTGTCTGGTATCTCACTACCCAGCCCATTCCAGGCCTCTCGACGGTGATTAATGATCACGGATCCGCAAGTGACTCGGGTATGTATTAAGAACGGCTGTGCTCCCTTGCGAATGATGGGGAAAGGGTGTTTCCTTTCTTCCAAAGCATGTCAGGACAAATAGTAGCAGTCGAATAATTTTTTTTACACTTTCTATTACTTTCATTTTCTCTTCTCAGATTCTGACAGTGGATTTACCCACGGACATATGGGCTATGTGTTCTCAAAAATGTCTAACGTGCCGGATGATAAATACGGATGTCTGTCAGGGAACATCCCTGCCTTAGAGTTGATGGCACTGTACGTGGCTGCAGCCATGCATGACTACGATCACCCAGGAAGGACTAATGCTTTCCTGGTTGCCACTAGTGCTCCTCAGGTAAATCGTTACATTTCTTTCCTTTTCTTTTTCTCTTTCTTTACTTTTTAGAGAGATTTTTACTACAGGGTGTTTGTGCTCACCAGAGAGACAAAGACAGAAAGAAAGAAAGCGAGAAATCACCCCCTGTTGCATGACCGCATCCCCTTCTATTCTCCTCTCTGAATTTTGGGCACATACACACTCGCCACTATGAAGGGTTTTGTTTGTTTGTTTGTTTTTTGTAATAAACTATTTTTTTAAGGATTATTTATTTAATTCTATTTATCTTAATTTGACCAGAAGGAGAGAGAGGGAAAGTGAGAAAGCAAGCCACCAGTTCTGGGACTTGAACCATGGTTGGCCACATGGGAGTGTCCAGCGCCTTAACAGCCATGCCACCTGCTGGTCTTTAATTTTATTTATTTAATTAATATTATTTTAATTTGACAAGAGAGGGACAGAGTAAAAGAGAGAAAGGGAAAGTTTTAAGCTGCCGCGGTTAGCTACGTGGGAGTCCAGCAACATAACCACTACACCATCTGCTGGTCCCAAATTGTTAGATTTCGTTTTGGAGAATTAAGTTCAAGATTTCTCTGGAAAAATTAACTCTATATATTTGACTTATAACAGGCACCAAGTAACAATACGCCAAACTATATTTAGTCCTATAATAAAGTTCAAGGCCATGCTAATTTAGAAAACATGTTATGGTTTGGGAACCAGCAGTTAGCGTAATGGCTATGTCACTGGACTCCCACGTAGTCGACCGCGGTTCACGTCCTGGACCCGGTGGCTTAAAACTCATGCTGAGCGCGTGTGCATGCGTGTCCAAGATCCTGAGAGGAGAATGGAGGAGAAGGGATTGCGGTGTGACCAGCCCTCCTGGGGGATGATTTCTCACTTTCTGTCTCTCTGTATCTCTCTGTCTTGCGAACGCATGCGCCCTATAGTGAAAAAAAAAAAAAAAATGTTATGGTTTGTTTTATTGATGACAAGTATGCAACTGTATAACTGTATTATCCATAGGGATCCCGTCTCAGTTTTCTTCTTAGAAAGGAAATCTCCTTGACTTTATGTTAATGAACCTTCTGAACAAAGAAAAGGCAACCTATGCAAAAGTCCCTTTCTGAACAGGTTAGGGAATCAAGTCTTAAGAATAAAAGGCTTCTGGGACCAGCAGTTAGCGTAATGGCTATGTCGCTGGACTCCCACGTAGTCGACCGCGGTTCGAGTCCCGGACCCGGTGGCTTAAACTCACGCCGGGCGCGTGTGCGTGCGTGCCCAGGATCCCGAGAGGAGAATGGAGGAGAAGGGATTGCGGCGTGGCCATCCCCCCCTGGGGGGTGATTTCCTGCTTTCTATCTCTCTGTCTCTCTCTGTCTGTCTGGCGAGCGCACGCGCCCTATAGCAAAAAAAAAAAAAAAAACCTCTCCAAAAAAAAAAAAAAGGATAAAAGGCTTCTTTGTATATACATCCCATACCTTTGAAATATATCCATTACAACAATTAAAATTCTTACGGAGTATATATTGGTTAGTAAAAATTTAACATCAGTTTATTTCATTGTAGGGAATGTTTTCGCCTGAACATAGATTCCAAAAGTAATGAATAACTTTAAAGAAGTTCATCTTGGTGCTTGTCTAAGTCAGGAATTAACCAGTAAATATTTAGGCATCTCCAGCTATACAGTTAAGCTCCGTCACCATCCCTTTGATTTCATCGTGTAAACTCAAGTTACTAAACATCCTGAGAGTCTGTTTTTTCCTAGAACATCCAGAGGCCAATCTTGTCCTGTATTTCTTTTTTTGCCTTTTGTCCTTTATGTCACTCCCAAGCAATCTACAAGCTCTCTTAGGAACAAACTTACAATTTTCCTCAAACCTATATACAATAAAAGCATTCTGGTTTTTTTCTCCTGACTACCTACTGAGTAGGTAACGTACCTTCTTTAAACATATCCTTCATACAGCAAAATTATTTTCCCTATAGATAAGCCAAAATCCTCTCACCCTCACAATTTACCTTTCGGATTTTCCTGCACATCTTCATTTTTACTTACCTCAATATTAATATCCATGTACTATGTCTTTCTTTTTCCTTATGCCTTTTATCCTATAATCTGTCTTGCACACTAGTCCTCAGGCACTTTGTAGGCAGCTTCCTTTTTAAAAAAAAAAGTTTGCTAGAGGCCACATGTACTCTCTGGACAGAGACAGGGAGAAAGAGGGAAAGTGAGACAGCGCCCCCTATGGGAGATGATTATGCTGCAATCCCTTCTGCATTTCTCCTGTTGGGATTTTGGGCGTGAACACACATGCACCCAGGTTGTTTTTCAAGCTGCTGGATCCAGGACACTTGAACTGCCTTAATTAACCACCACACTACTGGCTGACCCTATTTTTTTTTTTTGTCCAGCTTCTCTTAGCACTTCTAGAGAACTCCAGACAAGTAGATGCTTAATTTATATGTTCCATTACTAGATAAAGGGTGATTTTTTTTCCCCCCTGTGGCTTATTGTGGGGAGAGAATGTTATAAATTGTATGCTTCTCAGGGATTCCATTACTCTTTAAAAGTTATACATATCAAGCTAATACGTATAATATAAGGATAATTTTTATGCTAGATACAGAAAGTAACTGAATTACAACTTAGGAATATTGATATATTCATATTATTTTTATATTTAAATTCCTGTGCCCCAGAAAGAAACATAAAGAAATTATCTAAAAAAAAAAAAAAGCCAACTCTACTAATACAGGCTAGTACCCCTTACTTGTGAGAGTTTAGGATAAAGTTTCAACAAAAGGAGCTTATCACATAAAAAAAGGAAATGTAACCAAGAAAAGTAACCAATAGTCAACATATAGCAATAAGTGATTCTTAATAACACAAGATTACATTTCTTTGTCCCATGAAAACAAATTTTTCAAAAGCATTTCATTTTCCCATTTGTTTTTGTGATTCCTTTGTTAACTTAGAAAGTCAAACTCTTTCCTCTTTTACTTATTTGCTTAGGCGGTGCTGTATAATGATCGTTCGGTTTTGGAGAATCATCACGCAGCTGCTGCATGGAATCTTTTCATGTCCCGGCCAGAGTATAACTTCTTAGTGAACCTTGACCATGTGGAATTTAAACATTTCCGTTTTCTTGTCATTGAAGCAATTTTGGCCACTGACCTGAAGAAACATTTTGACTTCGTAGCCAAATTTAATGCCAAGGTAACCAGATTTGTACCAGTTTTCATTTTATAAGTACATTGAAAGATGTCATGAAACCAAATGTTAAATAGAAATTGTACATATCAGCTCTTATATGTCAAATGTGAAAATGCAACGTTGAACCAAAAGCAGACATACAGGTATTGATTTGAATCTTGATATGGAGGAAGTTGAGGTGCTATCTGTATATATTATACTTTGTGCTGCAGAGGAATAATAAATTCTTGCTGTCATTGTGGCTTTTTGTTGGACTTAATTTTCTCTCATCTTTATGGTACTTAGCTGGCAGTACTAAAAGTCCAACACTTGAAGCAGAATGCCTCACATCACGGGCCAGCAGGTGGCGTGGTGGTCAAGGCACTGGACTCTCAAATGGCCCACCATGGTTCAAGTCCCAGACCTGGTAGCTTGAAAATCACACAGGGTGCATGTGCATGCATGCCCAAAATCGCAGGAGGAGAATGGAGTAGAAGGGATTGCAGAGTGACCATCCCTTCTGGGGCTGATTTCTCACTTTCCCTCTCACTGTCCTTTTGTTTATGATAATCACACACACCTTATGTCCAAGGGGAAAAAAAAATTTCATATCAAACATAAATGCCTAAATGTTAGTTCAAGAGAATTATTTAATAGTAATTGATAATGTTTTCTAATTTTAAATATTTATTGTCAGTTCTATAAGTAATAGTTATTTCAAATATCATGCATTATTTTTGTTTTCAATGAATTATTTTATTATTAATTTCTGCAAGCTGGAGATATTATTTTAAATAAATGAGGAGTTTCTGATTATTTGGTATTCTGATCTCTACACAGTAGGGAGACAATAAAGATTCTTTTGTTTTCTCTCCTGGACAACTTTTATTTTCACCTAGAGGCAAAACACATTTTAACTTTATTCCTCAAACAGGTGAATGATGATGTTGGAATAGATTGGACCAATGAAAATGATCGCCTGCTGGTTTGTCAAATGTGTATAAAGTTGGCTGATATTAATGGGCCAGCTAAGTGTAAAGAGCTCCATCTTCAGTGGACAGAGGGTATTGTCAATGAATTTTATGAACAGGTAACTAGCTTATCTATCTCATCTATCTTAGTCATTCAATTCATGGATTCACCAAAACTTATAGAAATATCACTCTACTTTGTATTCACACCTTCTTTAGAAAATGTACTGGCCAATTTTGATCAGGAAAAGAAATGACATGTAGTCTAAACTGTAACCACATAGTATGCTAAGAAAAAGTTATTTGTAAAAATTATTTGCATTTTGGAGAAAGATGTCAAGAGAGTGCTTTATAATCTGTTATTTTTTTTCCATAAAGTTCTGAAACAGTTCAAAATAAAGCACATATAAATTAACACTATTAAACATATAGACAAATAAAAATATCATAAGCCATATAATTAAATAGACCATTATAATCCCCCAATGTGGGATAAGATAGCAACTTGAGCAAGAAATCATTTTAAGCTTTCTGGCAGCCAGGGCAAGAAAGGAAACCATGATAGATTATATTTCCATTTTATTACTATGCCCTGCATTGTATTTTTAAGATATATTTATATTCTCATGTAAGGGTTACTGACTAATATGATAAGAAATATCATTTACTGAGACATTAAACTACTTCCTATACTTCCCCTTGATGGAAAACCAAAACCTCATGATTGCAAAAGTAGTAAATAGTAGCAAAAGCATTTCTATAGGAATCTTAGTGACGTGGGTATTATCAACAACCATACAAAGGAGTTTGTACAAGAATATCTAGCTTCTTGCATATTTATATATTTTAATTGCCAGGTGAATGTTGATTACACTTGTATTTTAAACTTCCCTTTTCATTTACCTTTTAGCTAACTATCATGCTAAATGCCTATTTCTAGGGTGATGAAGAAGCCAGCCTTGGGTTACCCATAAGCCCCTTCATGGACCGGTCTGCTCCCCAGCTGGCCAATCTTCAGGAGTCCTTCATCTCTCACATTGTGGGTCCTCTGTGCAACTCCTATGACTCGGCGGGACTAATGCCAGGAAAGTGGGTGGAAGACAGTGAAGAGTCAGGGGATACTGATGATCCAGAAGAAGAGGAGGAAGCAGCAGCTACACCAAATGAAGAAGAAACCTGTGAAAATAATGAATCTCCAAGTAAGCCATAAAATCTGGTACTGATGCATTTTTCCTAGGCTCATATTCTTACTTAGGCAAAGGTGAACTTATGCCTTTCATAAATGGCATATTTTGAGTCTAAATATCATCTGCTGGGATTGGTTATGGGTTCGTTATTGATTGAGTCCAAATATCATCTACTGGGATTGGTTATTAATTAGTTATAGGTTGTTCTTTTCCTCAATATCAGACTATGCTTAGTTCTTCATTAGAAATCTCTTAGTTTGCTATAGGAATCTTACAGATTTAATTATGAGGTGAGGTTACGGACTCTATAATAATACCATGTATCATACAAAGATATATTCTCTGTCATGAAAAAAGAATCAAGATTTGATTCTTGATAGTTTTCTTCATAGTATCTTAATGATTGAGAAATGAAAAGAAATTAGGCCAGCAGGTAGTGTGGTATTTAAGGTGCTAATTTCCCACATGACTGACCATGGTTCAAGTACTGGACTTGGCAGCTTAATCACTCCAGGGGCGTGTGTGTGTGTGTGTGCATGCCCCAAATCCCAAAGAGAAAGGAGGAGAAGAGATTGTGGCATGGCAATTCCTCCTGGGGGGTGATTGCTCACCTTCCCTCTCTCTGATTCTCTTTCTCCACTGAGTGCATGCACACTAGGGGGAAAAAAAAAAACAAAACTACAAAACAAAACCAAACAAAAATGGAAAAAAAAAATTAGTTACCATATAAAGCACGCACAGGCTTTATTGGTTTGGTTAGGAGAAGGCAATATGAAGAGTGAGAGACAATATTCATTTGTTTATTCTACTTTGTGCATTCTTCCAGATTCTGAAGATAGAACTGTGAATAAAATAGACAATGAAATAGTAAATCCTCAGCCTTGTAGACTTCCATTTTGGTGGGATCAGCAGACACTTAGCAAAACAAATCAGCATGTCTATAATATGTTGGGTCTTGATGAATAATAGAGTGAAAAACAAAAAAGGAAAGAGAGGTGAAATATAGCAGAGAAAGGTTTAAATTTTAGAAAAGGTAGACTGAGAAGGGGAAGTTGAAATAATGTAGATATTTAAGCAAACAAACAAAAACCTGAAAGAATTCATGGCATGATCCATAAGGAGATATGTAGAGAGGATTCTAAGGAAAGGAGAAAATAACTTGTGCAAGGTCCTAAGGAGGGCCTTCGCTGGGGTGGTCAAAGAGCAGCAAGAGAGCAAGTGTGGCTGAAGAGATGACAGCGGGGGTATGAGAGAGGTAGTGATGGGTCACATGATGTAGGGTTTGAAGCCTGAGCTCTATAGGTCACTATATAAGGATTTTGGATTTTACTCTAAGCAAGATGGGAAGTCATCAATGGTTCATTTTTATATTTTAACTGGATTGCTTCAGTGGCTACATTGAGGAATTTTGGCTGTTTAATGGGGAGCAAGGGTAGAAGTACGGGCATCAGTTAGACTGATGGAATTATTAAAGGAGAGATGCCGTGACTTAGACATCTATCCAAGATGATAAAGAAGTGATCACATCTGAAAACTGTCTTGAAGTGCATCATATAGCCAGTCTATTCACTTAACCCAATTGGCTATAAAAACCTTATTTTCTTCATGCCTTAAAATATACTTTCTGGGATCAGCAGTTGGCATAATGGCTATGTCACTGGACTCCCATGTAGTTGACTGCAGTTTGAGTCCCAGACCTGGTGGCTTAAACTCACACAGGGCGCATGTGTCTGCATGACCAAGAGGAGATGGAGAAGAAGAAATTGTGACATGGCCATCCCCCCGGGGGGTGATTTCTCGCTTTCTGTCTCAAATTATATATATATATACATATATATATACATATATATATATGTATATATATCCCTATTTCTCCCACCATGAAAAAAGCAGTGACTAATAGCATAATTAGTAAAACCCATGACCCTTACGGTGACATTGCACACTATTCCTGTGTTTATGAGGCCATGGTATGTGTTATCTGTCTGCCTTTACAGATGAAGAAAATGCAATCTTAGTATTTTTCAAAACCCTTACCAAAAATATAATCAATGAAAGACATCCTGATCATTTTGTTTCTAATTTTTTCAGTCAATAAAAGGCACTGTTTGGTTCATGTCAACCATCTAATAAGGAGATTCTCTAACCTTGTATTGATTCATTATGTCCTCCTATAAGTACCCTCTTGAGGGTAAAGAGGAAAGATGTAGTTGTTTTTAATGAGATACTTTTGTACATTTGGCTCTAGCTCCAACTTTTTTAATAAATTCTGTCCTATTAACTTTTATGTAGAAGGGGAGGAAATAAAAAGTTGTTTTCCTTCAACGTTCCACATGGTCCATGGTGGTTCAAATCTTGGCCCTAGCAGCTTGAAAGTAGGCTAGGTGTCCATGTGTGCATGCTCAAGATTCCAACAGCATATTTATAGAGAAGAAATTGCAGCATGACCATATAGCCCATTGAGGGGTGCTTTCTCACTCCTCCTACCCCCAATTCTTCCCATCTTTTTCTAGTGAGCACATATGCTCTCTGACCCCCCCCCAAAAAAATTTTTCTATTAGAAATTCTATGCTGATCTTGGGATACAAATCTAGAAGCCAAGACTTCAGATTCATGGTTATTATTTATACAGTTGTTCTTTTAATAAATTTATATTAGTCTTTTCTTTTCTTTTTATTTCAAACAGCCAGGTATTTTTCTTTCTTAATAAGGACATAATACCTTTTCCTCTTAATGATATCTGAAGATGTTGTTGACTTAGCCTCTGGAAAAGCTTCGCTCCCATGACCCTGACTGATGACTGTTTGAACTCAGACACACTGAAAACATAGACACACCATCCAGAAATCAGGAATCGAAGGACCCAGACCAGGAGGTTTAACAAACTCAACTTATCAGCCTATGCTTTCCCACAACATTCCCCAACCTCTTGGGCACCAGGGACCAGTTTCAAGGAAGACATTTTTTCCATGGATAGGAGAGTGTGTTGGGGAAATGGGACTTGGGGAATGGTGTCAGGATAACTTAAGTATATTACACTTATTGTATACTTTATTCTATTTCTATTATTATTACATTTTAATATATAATGCAATAATTATACAACTCATCGTAATGCAGCATTTGCAGCTGTTTTCCAGAGCTAGCATCACTGCCTTAGCTCCACCTCAGATCATCAGGCATTATATTCTCAAAAGGAGCATGCAACCTAGATCCCTCATGAGCGCAGTTAGCAGTAGGGTTCATGTTCCTATGAGAATCTAATGCCACCACTGATCTGACAGCAGGTGGAGCTCGGGCAGTAGTAATGTGAGTGATGGGGAGTGGCTGTAAATACAGATAAAGCTTCCCTACTGGACTGCTTACCTCTCACCTCCTGCTGTGGGACCTGATTCCTAACGTGTCGCCAACTGGTTTGATCTATGACCCAGAGGCTGGGGATCCCTGCTTTAGTAAATGCTACAACCAAATATTTTATTCATTTCTGCTCTGCAGAGTTTGGTTGTCATACTTTCCCATCCAGATTCTGATGTGTTTCTTCCCAGACCTTTCTATGTTTATCAAGTTCACTAAAGCAGGAATAAGAATTATGTGAATTCTGTTTACTAATAGCTTCCAAAAGTTAGCTCACTACCTCATGTTGAATTTGAAAACTGACATCCACAATGATTTAATGCCATAGCTTTGGAAAAAAATTTTTTGAGGTATTTCTTTACAGTCAAGAAAGTAATAAATTTGGGGGCAATATTAGTATTTACTAAATCTCACCACAGTGAGTAATAGAATTCAGAAAGAAAGGGGAATCAAGGCTTATGAAGTTTAGCTGCCTCCCTTTACATAGACTAAACTGAGGCTCGGAAATTTAAATAACACCACAAGGTTGTAGAGCCAGAAAGGAAACCCAGGTTTCCTCATTTTTAACTCCCTTACTTTTTGCCTCTTAGTCATTTTAATTTTGAAATTCATATTGGCTAAGATAATTACCCTGATTTAGCCTGATATTTAGATTTTAGGAAAAAAGTTTAAAATGCAGCGATAACTTCTCCAATTTGGAAAACGGGGAGATCTCCCAGGGAACACAGAATAAAATGTTTCAATATGGTATCCTAGGAAAAGAAGGCTTTTACCTCACCTCATAATTAAATCTGAAAGATTCCTACAGCGAACTAAGAGGTTTCTAATGAAGTACTAAGCTGCATTTCAAATTTGAGCAATGAAAGGCTCTTTGTTCTCCTTTCAAAAGGTTCCAGTGCAGAACAATTTGGCTCCCAATACAAGCATGTTTTAGACCACCTGCAGACACTAATCTACGCAAATTTATTTGGTACAAACTTTCTTCTACGTCACCTTATTCAGTATAATTCCAGAGAGGTTTATTACTAATGTTTAACAGCATTAATAAGAGAACAGCTGCTCTCATGGGGGACTGCCATGAAAGAAAAAGGAGAAAAAGCGAGCTTTTGTTACTTCTGGACGAATGGACTGCCATGAATGTGTGTGACGTGAAGATGGAATAATCACCTTGGACAGTGGAGTGTTTCCTATACTGATGATCAAATCTGTTCTTCAGCCAATGGCCATCTGTAACTCCCTTCAGTCAAAAGATTGGGTTAAAATGTATATTAACATTTTAAGATTTCTCTACAGAAGCTGATTTATATGTAACTAGAACAACAACAACAACAAAAAGTAGAAATAGACTACTTGGCTTTGGTCAAAGAGTGATTTGGTAGAAGAGTGAAAACTTGATATAGGAATGTAGTCTATTGGCTTTGATAGAAAAAAATCAACTTAATTTAAATTTCAGTTTATATGTATTGCTTTTGTTTGGGAGCTTGTGTTGATGTATGGGGTCATGCTCCAGAGTCCCTTCCTTTGCCTGCCTAGGCGTCTCACTCTCCTGGAAATCTGCCAGCCCCTACTTCACCCAGTGAATTTAATCCCTATGATTTACATCCAGCTCAGGTACCATGTCCCTTGAAAAAAATCCTACTTATTCCCCCACAAGTTGA